GTCTAAAATCACTAATCTCTCAAATGTGAGACAGCAAGTGATCTGAGACAAGAAAAACACACAAAATGAGAATTGTATGCTCCTGCAATTTATGTTCCCCTTCTCTAAGAGAGGTAAATTTCTTTGCAATAACTCAGGCAACCGGTCCTGGTTGTCCATGCTGGTTTAAGTGCATGAACCAAGCGACCTCTATAGTTAAGGGGATGGTTGTTATCCCTTGAAGTCCTAGGTCCGAACACGGCGTCTGCAGGGACGTATGAGCCTTCATTGTCAAAAGGTTGAAATCCGGTAATCGTCAAAATTCATACAGCCAAAGAGAGTCATACCTTGTCCTCTACAGGCATGCTTGTCAAGAAATGCTTTGCCCAGGTTAGCAAAACTTACATTTACAGTTTGAGAAGCAGCAGCATATCGCTCGATGACATCAATTACTTCAGCCTTCTGAATCTCCTCCCAGTTAGACTTGTTACAAAGGTAATAAAGGCCCCCAGATCATAAGTCACCTGATATCAATTGTTTCGCAGATCAGATGTGTATGCATGCATTTACAGAATCAAACAAGAGAAGATTTAATTCAATTACTTTATTACATCGCATCAGGTAAGAGATGTTCACTAATATGAGCATGTCTAAGGGTGCTTCCTTATGCATTTTTGTCCTAAAGCTCAATCGACTCTTAAGAACCAACTAGATGTTGTTCTATCAGAAACTCTCAAGTTCACCTACATACAGTTAGGGCTGTAAACAAGTCTTGAGCTTAAGTATTGTTGAGCTCGACTCGAAAAGTTCAAAGTCATGAGTTTAAAAAAATTGAGCTTCAACTCAACTTTAAACTCACGAGTTTAAAATTGTCAAACTCGACTCGAATTCGAAATAAAAAAGTGAAGCTTGAGTTGACTCAAAAGCTCACAAGCCTTAAAATTGTCAGGCTCGACTTAAAAACTTGAAATAGAAAATTGAAGCTAGACTTGAGCTCGAAAAAACTTGAACTCAAAACATTCTAAGACTTAGCTCGATTGAAGTTCAAACTCGAGGTTGAACTTTAAATACATGAAAATCTTATATTGTATTTAAAAAATAACATATAAATGTTAATATTATTAGTGATTTAATTAAAAAAATAAAAAATTTGATATATTATTTCTTTGAGTTACGTGCAACTATTTCGAGTCGAGTATCAAGTAATTTGTTTTGACTCATTAAGAACTTGAGTTGAATACATTCGATTCAAATGTTGACTTGTCTTTGATCGAGTCAAACTCTAACTCGGAGTCTGTCTTATCTCATTTACAATCTTACATACAATTTTTAGGGGGTAACAGTGAATTTAGCACAATCCATCTTATGTCTATCTCTAACAACTCCGAGAATTAAGGGTGGGAACGAAAAACAACCAAGCACTACAATAGAATGGGGCTGGAGCGGCGTTTTTTAGTCCTATAGCGACATTTTTAAGTACCGCAAAAACCTTCCCAACATATAAAAGAGTGACGCAAGAAACGCCATTAAAACTAATGACGCAAAAATTGGTGGCGTTTGTATATAAAAATGCTGCAATAGGTTCAGACATTTATTGAAGTTTTTTTTACAAATGCCACAATAGGTTCATACATTTAGAGGAGTTTTTCTTACAAATGTGCAATAGGTTCATACATCTAGTGGCGTTTTCCCTATAAATGTCGCAATAAATAGGTAATTTAGTGGTGTTTTTAACTAAAACACCACAATTGTGTAGTCCATTAGTGACATTTTTTATCTTAAAGCGCCGCAAATGAAACCTGCCTTGCAAATGTTATTTTCTGCTATTTATTACTCAAATTTAATATCATGTAGCAATATCCAATAACAACCTTAAAATTTAATTACGACTCGAATTAAGTAAAAATAGTTAACATAAATAAATAAAAGTTTACAAACTGGCAACTTCTACAAGCAAATTCCTCTCAATTTTCTCATGTTCAACCTATGTTACATGCACAATCTTTGAGTCTTCATTGCTCCTTCACAGGGAAAGGAAGTAAAAAAACAGTTTTCCTTGTTTGATGAATCATCGTTAAGTTTTCCTCCATGTAAATTGTAAATGGAGAATCTATTCATCCATTTCACCAAATAAATCCCCTAGTTTCGGGTTACCAAGAAGACTCCTTGCACATTTCAATGCTTCACTTGAAACAGATAATGACCTTCCACCTGTAATATGAAACAAAAGAGAGTTACCACAACCATTTTCTAATGGAATCGCTTTACCTATATAGCAAGTAAGTTCAATTCCTACATATTCAATGGTTTTAGATATTAAAATTAAAGTAAAAGAGAGAAACGTTTACTTGAAGTAACAGTAGAGGCAGCGTTGTCTTGATAATGCTTTTGCAATTGAAATTCTTTCAACACCACGAATTTCCCCAATCCGGTTCTAAATATCGGGTATTATCTACTCCACCATCGTTCTCAATAACCTTCGACCATCCTGCATAGGATCTATGAAATTTGAGATCACAAAATTAAAATATAGAGGCGAAAAGATTCAAAGATTATTACCTTGACAGGAGATCGACCATGGAAGAGTGTGGAGCAAATGGAGTTCCGTTTGGGTCATCATCAGGTTTCGACGGCATGACCGGACCAGAACTCTCCCAACGATAATTTGATCTGGCGTGAGAGAAAATTTGCCACGTGGACATTACGACGATTTTGATTAGGGATGAGGATTAAATTTTTTTTAAAAATTAATCCACAAGCAATTTCTTTTTACTCTGTCCATGCATATAAAAGTAGCATCAACGGGACACAACCATCAATGCAATGGTCATCATTATGTTTCGACGGCAGGACCGGACTTGAAGTCTCCAACGATAATTTGATCCGGCGTGAGAGAAAATCTACCACGTGGACATTACAATGATTTTGCTTAGGGATGAGGATTAACTTTTAATCCACAAGCAATTTCTTTTTACTCTGTCCATGCATATAAAAGTAGCATCAGCGGGCCACAAGCATCAATGCAATGGTTCAAATGAGTGATTTGGTACAATAAACATGAACTTTGTCAATCATGTAAAAGTAAGTGCTAAAAAGAATTAATTACATATCATCTGGGGATTGTAACTCAGTTTGTACCCTGTAAAACTGAATCCCTAAGAGATTATTAAATTCACAGCAAATTATCCAAAGGCTTCAAACATTAACATATCCAAAGGCTGTTCATTTTCTGTATAAATTCCAAGTCCAACACAAAATTTAAGTATTCCCTTCTCCTCCCTGTTTCTCTCAGCTCAGGTACTGTTCTTCTATTCATCTTTTCTTTTTCCTCTTAATTCCCAGAAATCAATGCATATGCAAACAGCCAACCAAATGAAGGAATACAACAGCCGACACCAAATCACTCAAACGGTGAGAAAACAATCAAAATTAACCAAAAAAACCTCACAATTTCGATTCATGGGAAATGCATTCGATTGTTTAGTTATCTATCCTATAAACATAAATTCTCAAAATGATCATGAAATATTATGGTCTTCACTTAAACAAAGCATTCCCCTCTTTACAACTCTATTCACTTACTAACCAACTAGTATAAACTCAACATCGAAACTGGTTAGTTTTCCATAGAAGTAACATTCCATAAATTCAATTGAAAGTTAATTATGCAAGTTTGAAATTTGAAATATTCAAGAATTCAGAAAAGATCTAAACACATAAAAGCAGCACAAGCGAGTCAAGTAGTGTGTAAAAGATGAAAAATTATGGTTCAAGTAATTTAAAACTCCACTTGAGAATGTGAAGAACAACCAGCAGCGGCTGAGCAAACAGACAACATTGTTCAAATGTTCCAATAACAAATCAAACTAGTAAAAATTCATCAAACGTTGATATCTGCAAAAAAATATAATATGAAATCCGTGAAAAAAAAAACAAAAATAGACAAATATTTAGCAAAGTCCAGTCGAATTGCTCAATGATTTTTTTTAAAGCAAGATTCATGACAACCCATTTTCATCCGTGTAGCAACAATATCAAAACTTTATAGAAAAAGAACTATAACACTTGGTTATTTAACATGAGATCTAGAAAACTTCATAAATAAACTAAAGATAAGATCAAATATTAAAGAGAGTACCAAGTGATTCACTCTCTCTGATGCAAATTTCCAACAAAATTCAAGGCAGCTGAAACAAAAGAACAAGTTGAGAAATGACTGAGTGAAAAAGGAACGGTTAATGTGTAGTGGTGAGAAGGAAGGAGACTCGAGAAAATGAATATATAGGATTCAACTATGTTTTCCTTTTTGTTTCAACTTAAAGAAAACTGGAGTTCTCTTTGTTTCAATAGAAACCCATGAATTTGGGTCTTTTCACTTAGACGCAGAAGATTTGTATAACCGAAAATGAATGAAAAATAAAGCAAAGCAAAACCGCTTTGTTAAATCCAGAAACAATCATCTAAGAGCACATGGAATAATCATCTAAGAGCACACGAATTTTGAAATTCAAACAAGTCCAACGAACTATAGAATGAACAAGAGTGGATGGAAAATAGAACAAATGCTTACATATTAGCCAGACTGAAACAATTAGTAAGCTGCTCAGGGATTTCACCTTGCGTTGAACCAGCTTTCCAAACACAAAAGCAGTGAAATGAGAAGGAAAAATAAGGATTTGTGCTGGGTGTGTTAAAGAAATGAAGAATTGTTGCGTTTTGTTTACACAACACCACTAATGTATGGTCCAATTGCGGCGATTTATAAAAAAAACCCACTACAGTACGCATTTGTAGTTACATTTACACATAAATGCCACCGTATATCAAGCTATAGCGGCATTTTTAATACAACATAAATTTTGCGGCTCTATTCCATAAACGACGCTAAAATTTTCATTTTGTGGCATTTTGTCAGTAAAACGTTGTTACGTCAAACTTTAGTGGCGTTTTGACTTAGAAGGACCTCTAAAAGCGTCGCTATAAACTTGTTTTGCTGTAGTGAAGAAGAGAAGCTTCCCCACTCACATGTTTCTTACCGGGCTTGATAAACAATGAACAAGAGGGATTCCACCACACGGAGTAGTAACAATAGCAGCATTAGTTGGATCTGCAAGGGAATTCATGATGAAAGGATCATCATAATTCATAAAGAAAGAGAACCGTAATTGTAGAACTAAAAGCCAAACCTGCTTAGGTTTCATCTTTATTTGCACAAATCAAGTGATTTCAATGATTAAACGAATGATTGTTATCTATAGAGGTTCTGAGTTCGAGCACGACGTTTACAGAAGTATTTGAATGTTATTATCAAATGATTTAGACTCTTTCAAACATAAACTAGCTTGTAATCATACCAAATTAATAATAAATAAAAAACCGGACTTGCCCACACAAGAATTGCAGACGCCTCCTATTCCGAATTCCACAAGCTTCTCATTTGGTTCTATTATGCAATCTAGGAAGAGTTCCAAACATTGAGCTGCAAAGAAAGAAAGATGTTAATGTGGCAGAAAAAGCACTTGATGCACACTAATCAAATTTGAGAGACATTATTTCACAGAAAACAGGAATTTGAACCTGGCGCAAGAATGAATAATTATATGGAACATAAGCAAAGTTTGCCAAGTTTGCAGCAATCTTCTCCTTTTTTATGTGGAAAACAAGTACCATTCAATTAAAAATTACGAAGAGGACCGGAGAATTATGCCAAATTAGAATACCACATCATCTAAAACATGTAAAATGATCTTAGAAATTGTATTTCTAAAAAAGTATAATTTCATTTTACGTAAATCACGTTTCAAAAAATCAATTACAATATATTAAAGAGACCCTTAGTGTATTAACCCGTACAATAAATCCAATTAATCTAAAGAAAGATCATTGACAAAGGGTCGCTAACTAAGCAATGAAGAAATCTCTAAAAATTAAGCATACCTTCATTAGCTGTGTTCTGAAACTAATTCACCAATTCCTAACATAAGCAATGAAGGAAGCTCTAAAAATGAAGCATCATCTCGGGTCGAGTCACGTCATTGACAAATAAAATGCAAGTCGAATAATATCAATTCGAGTAAATTCAAGTCGTCTTATCGGATACGAATTAATTCAGGTAAAACTATTTTACATTTTTCACAAGTGTCTAATTATAATTGTATTATATATAATAAGTTATACTCCCTCTGCCCCTGTTGTGTTTTAAAATTATCTCATTCAAAATGTCATATTAGAAAAGTCAAGAAATAACAATACTTATATTTTATTTTTTACCCTTATTTTTTTATACCTAAAAACAAATATGTCAAATCTATCAATCACTCTTTAAGGGATAATTTTATTATTTTTATTATTTTACATATGATAAAATTTATCTATTAAAATTATATGTTTTGTCAACCTAAAAACACAATTAATAAGACGAGGGGATAATATTATAGCCTTATATTATATGCTTCTAGTCATAATCTTGTAACCCATAGTCATAAGACTATAACTAGTCGTATGACTGAAAAATATAAAGAAAGATATTTATAATAGTTATATCTAGATATATAGAAAATTTTATCACAAACTATTAATTAGGATTAAATTGAACAAACATAAAATTATAAACTGAAGTTTAATAAATTAAACAACGTGTAAAGATTAAATTTGAACAATTGTAAAATTTAAAACTAAAATTAATATCATATTGGACTAAATTGCATTCATTTAAGGTGAACAAAAATTTATAGAGTTTAGAGATTGATATAATTTATAGCATTTGAAGTTTATGATGTAATTTATAGAGTTTAGAGTAAATTACAAAAAAAAATGAGAAATAAATATGGGTCAATTTCGGATTAAAGTATAATTTTATGGATTAAATTGAACAAACATGAAATACAAACTAAAATATAAATAAATTAAACAACGTTCACGAATATGTTCTTTTAACGATCGTAAACATTCTTGTTAATATGTTCGTAAATATGTTTGTTTAGCGTTAGCGGACATGTTCGTGTAACATTCATTATGTGTTCGCTTAGTGTTCATTTATATATCTATGAACATATTCATTAAGAGTTCGCGAACATGTTCATTTACAAGCTAAAAATAGTAAAATTATGCCATTAGTGTTAAACTCTTTAAGCTCCATAGTGTAAACTATAAATTTCACCATGTGCTCAATTTAATCTTTACATTCACTTATATTTGAAATGTGAAAAAAATAAACGAATTGTTTATGAACATAAATGAATGAGTTGGTAAACAAAACTTTTTCATGAATATAAACGAATGAGTCGGTAAGCGAGCTCATAAACGAACTTGTTAATAAACATAAATAAACCGAAGACACTTCTGTTTATTCATTCTATTATTAAATTAATGTAAAACTTTTATTCATACTTATTTATTCAATTTAATAAACATTATACAAATGATTCACAATAATTCACCAAAAATATTAATTTACACCCCTATTTTTTATACGAAAAAATTATTACATAATTAAAGGTAATATCTGCTAGGAATCTTGATCCCATTCATTACATGAATTGAATAAACAAGCATGAAGGGACAGAATAAATTATCAATACCAAAAACTACCTGCAGAAACATTGGGGGACTATAGTGCATCGCACGGAAAGTTCTACAGTACAAGAGTCTTAATATATGATTAAAAAAAGCGTTATTAGTTTTTTTATTATTTTTTAATAAAATCGGTAAAATTACTTAAAACATTAATATTTTTAACATTTCCGGTAAAATACCCAATAATAAAAAAATCAGTAAAAATAAAAAATCAGTAGAAAAATAAAAAATCAATAGCGCTTTACCGATATGTTAACAAAACTGGTAAAATATCCAATAATAACAAAATCAATAGAAATAATAATTTTTTAAATAATTTTTTACCGATTTTATTAAAAAAATAATAAATTAATAACATCTTTCTTTAACTATATATAAATGCTGCTGCACGTGAGATTTTCTAGCACCGCGTGGGATTGAAGCTCGAGAAAATAAACAAATGCAGGGACATATATCGGCGTTTTTCCCAATATATCACATTTCCATTTATTTTTCTCTGTCGGCACCCTTCAGACTATTTTTCCTGATCTAATACTCTTTGCAGTAAGGCGCACCCCTGCAGCGCATTTTACGCTGATCTGGCGCCAGTGGGGTAACACGCGGCCCCTGGAGCGCGCCTTATGCTGATATGGGTTACACGTGTGTAAAGCACGGCCCTGGGGCGCGCCTTACGCCACGTAGGGCAATAGCGCGAGATAGGGGCCGCACCTTACCTTTAATTCAATTATATATAACGCAGGGCAGGGGTCGCGCCTTAGCTTTAACTGATACAATTATATAAGGCGCGGTACAGGTACCGCGCTTGTATATTTATAGCTACTTTTCTCGGCTATAAATACCTTTCTCCCCCGGTAAACTCCTCACATCCCCTTTCAACTTATAAATTAATACAACAATTCCGTCAACGAGTCAATAGTTACAGCAATCTTTCATATTTGATTCAGAAGTTCGTGCGATTTTTTGTTATAAGGTAATTTGTTATAAATTTTTTTTATTATAATTGTTTATTATGATATTTTTAAAAATATTATACGTTTACGTGTAAAAATTTTAGTATGTTATATTTTCGTTCATATTATTTATTTAATCATGTTTGTTTCAGTTATTTTTTTTTTGCATATATATTGTCACACTTTTAAACTGAAAGAATGACGCGACTTTCAGCTATTGTTTATTGATGGTGAAATTCGAGAAGATGAAATCAGCGTTGTTTTTATATCAAATGAGCTGTTAAAATATCATTAAAGAGAAAACATAACTCTTGAAGAGTGATAACGAAGATTTCGAGGAAGGTTCATGTTGGAAGTAGTAGAAGAATATCGTCGTTGCAGTACAGATTTCCAACATTATTGTTGCCATTAACTTATACAGCATTCGAACTTTCGAACAATGATAATGTTAAAGTGATGGTTGAATCTTAAAGTAATTATTCAGACGCCGATATTGAGATGTATGCAAAATTTGTTCAAGTGCATGCTGCTCGGGGTCAGTCGTTAAGCTCTCACTATGGGCTGGCTGAACAAGTTGATCAAGTTGACAGCATGACGACAGTAATGTGTAATGATTTTAATGCCATAATGGGGAGACATTCATCCGCAACTCCTTACGATATGTACCGAGGTGAGTCGACGAACAATCCATATGGCAACATCGCATGCAGTTCAAGGGGGAAAACATTCATCTGCAAATCACTTTGACCTTAATATGGAGATGCCATCGACGCAACAATCTGTGCACTATCCATTTGACATGATGGCTTCAAGTTCCAGGGGGAGGCATTTGACTGCGAGCTTTTTCTGTAACACCCCAACCCGTACCCGACCCGAATACGAGTCCGAGGTGTCACATTGACTTTTCAAATCTGGACACTTAAAGAAAATACCCCGGGTAATTTAAAACTTTGTTTAAAACAAAATACTTTAATTTACTCAAAGAGACCACAAAATACAAGTTTGATCAGAGTATTCATAATTAACGACTTATTACATGCCAACACTCTATACACGCCAAAATACATACTTGTTGATTACTTCTGATATGATCTTCAAGTAATAATACTGTCCTTGCTACTTCTATTCTTGCTCTTCACGTTTCTTGGTACCTACGTGTAATCACTTACACGTAAGTCATAGACTTAGTGAGGCAATAAAAAAACATTTAACAACAAATTCAGAATGTGCATTCTTATAATTTGATCATGACATTTCAACATGCATGTATCTATCACATGATAACATATATAAGCATGTCAAGCACATGTAACACTTACCTTCTTGTCCCACTTTCACTTTAATTTATCTTTCAATTGTATTGCCCATGTATATTATTGAGAATAGAGGTATGTGAGTTCATTGAGGTTGTGCACAAATGCTGTCACCACAGCTCGTATAAATTCCCTCATGGGGCACCGAACATTAGTTCAGTATTCATCCTGAAGGACTGCTATATATGTCCCGTAGGACCACTACGTCCCGAAGGACTACGTCCCGAAGGACTACGTCCCGAAGGACTACGTCCCGAAGGACTACGTCCCGAAGGACTACAGAACCCTCGACTCTTGGCATGCCAACTATACCTATAGCTCTCGTATCATATACTATGGGCATTTATGATGAATACATTTCTCATCACTTGTTCTTTCTCTTCTGTCACATACCACATGTATGTGTAACCATGTATTTCATATCATCATGTATCACATTTTGCATATTCATATGTCATTTCATATATTCACATAGTTTTTCTCATTTCACATGGTCATGTCTCATAGCATAATCATGTATGCATGTATATCATGTAACATTTATAATAATCTATACACATTTCATGTATTCATGCACATATAAAAATCATGAAATCAAATAACAATTTAGGAGTCACTTCTTACCGTAGTAACTCCATCACTGGCTCATCGCAAGCCAATGTTCGTTCAATAATATAAGTACAATAAAAATTGCACTCACCTTAGCCTTGTTTGATTTGAATCAATTCTAATCCTTTGATTATTCCAGAACTTGTTTAGGCTCAATATCTACATATAACATTTCAAAACAACTATCAGAAGCCTAAACCTTAAACTTGATGTTAACAACTTAAGCCCATATTGAACCTAATTTCATTTTCCTTTAGGGGGGAATCGATTCCCCCCCAGGGGAATCGATACCCCCTGGATATTCTGGAAAAATTTCGTCCAAGAGGGGGAATGGATTCCCTTCATAGGGTATCGGTTCCTTCTAACCAGAATTGGTATTTTAACCCCGAAAATCATCAATTCTTCACTTAATTCTTCTATTTTAAACCCCTATCATGTCATTAAATTCAACTACCATCACTTAAACCAACTTATCCATGAAAATCATCTATAACTTCAAAATCCTATCCTCATATGAAATTCAAGAATCATACTCAAATTTCAATATGTTCTAAATACAATTCTAACACTTCATATTCCTTAATTAGGATGATGACAAGTCAAATTTAACTTTAAATTCAACTTATCAACTCTTTTCCATGATTCATATAAAAACTCATTTTCTTTAAATCTCTTATAACTTCTTCATCTTTTGATTATAAGACAACTTAAGCTTCCTTAAGCTTAGTTATCTTCTAACGATCAAAACCTAATCTTTAATTTAACAAATAACCAACAATTTAGAAAACCTTACCTTTGCCCTGCACGTTGGAGAAGAAGAAAAGAAGAAGAAAGAGTTTTCAGAAACTCTTTCCCCAACTCACATTTATCTCTTAATAAAGAGATAAAAAATATCTTTCATGCTAAATGACCATTTTGCCCTTTAATTCCTTTGATAATTACTAATAACTTTCAGGAAATATTTCCGAACAAATCATTGGACTGTACAAATATCCTACTTAAATCACCAAACTCTGAAATTTTACAATTTAGTCACTAACCGTATTTTGGAATGTTACAAATCTCTCCCTTAAGAAAATTCGTCCTCGAATTTCATTGTTCAAAGAGATGGGGATATTGAATCTTCATGTCCTCTTCGCGTTCCCACATAGCTTCTTCCACCTTGTGATTTCTCCATAACACTTTGACTAATGGAATAGTCTGTTCCTTAATTGCTTGACTTCATGAGCCAAATTTGAACAGGTTCTTCCTCATAAGTCAAATCTGATTGAACTTCGATCTCTTCAGTAGTCACAATATGAGATGGATCGGATCGATATTTCCTCAGCATGGAGACATGAAAGACGTTATGGATTTTCTATTTCAGGTGGCAAAGCCAATTGATATGCCACTGGTCCTACTCTCTTAACGATTCATAGGTCCAATGAACGAGGACTCAATTTTCCTTTACGCCCAAATCTCAATACTTTCTTCCACGGAGACACTTTCAAGAACACTTTATCTCCGATTGAAACTCAATTTCTTTCCTTTTTAAATCGGCATATGATTTCTGTCTTCAGCTGCAGCTTTCAGATTATTCTGAATGACTTGAACTTTCTCTTCCGTATCCTGAATCAACTCAGGACCAATAACCTCTCGATCCTTAAGTTCATACCAGTTCAAGGGTGTACGACATCTTCTTCCATATAAAGCTTCATATGGAGCCATTTTGATGCTTGACTGATAACTATTGTTATACGCAAATTCAGCAAGTGGAAAATACCTTTCCCATGATCCTTTGAATTCAATTACACAAGCTTAGCATATCCTCCAGAATTTGGATAGTTCGTTCAGACTGACCATCTGTCTGAGGATGAAATGCTGTGCTAAAATTCAGTGTGCCAATGATCCATGTAAAGACTTCCAAAATCGTGACGTGAATCTAGGATCCCGATCAGAAATTATGGAAACAGGTACACCATGTAACCGTATAATCTCTCTAATATACAACTCAGCATATTTATCCATAGAAAAATCAGTTCGTACCGGAATAAAATGGGCTGACTTAGTTAACCTGTCTACAATCACCCCATATTGAATCTCTTTTGTTCGGAGTTAAAGGCAACCCATGACAAAATCCATCGTTACATTCTCCCATTTCCATGAGGAATTGAAATTGATTGTAACAGTCCCGACGGAACCTGATGCTCAGCCTTAAACTTGCTGACAAATCAAACATTTAGATACAAATTCTGTAATGTCTTTCTTTCGGCCACCAATATCGACTCTTGAGATCCATATACATTTTGTTCCCTCCCGGTGCATTATCAATGGACTACAATGAGCTTCCGTTAACAAATCATTCTTTAATTCATCATCATTCGGAATTACCAATCTCTCTCGATAATACAAGTTCTCATCAGACTGATTTCATAATCTGTACTCTCTCCATTATTTATTTGCTGCAACTTCTTTGAACATTTTTCATCTTTTTCCTGCAATCCTTTAATTCGATCTAACCATGATGGTTTGATAGTCAATTCTGCACAAATTGCACCCTCCGCTTAATGATAATTTAGCATCCATAGCTCGTAAAGCTGCAAACGTTTTTCGGCTTAAGGCATCCGCTACCACATTTGCCTTTCCAGGATGGAAATCAATCACAACATCATAATCTTTGAGAAATTCCACCCATCTTCTCTGTCTTAAATTCAACTCTTTCTGAGTCATCAAGTACTTTAAACTTTTGTGATCCGTATACAGGTAGCATTTTCACCATACAAGTAGTGACGCCAGATCTTTAGAGCGAACACTACTGCAGCCATCTCCAAATCGTGTGTCGGATAATTCTTCTCATGAGGTTTAATTTCCTCGAAGCGTAGGCCACCACCTTGCCTTCTTGCATTAACACGCATCCCAAGCCATTATGAGACGCATCACTATACACTACAAAGTCCTTGCTAGACTCAGGTTGGACTAACACTGGAGCTTCTGTCAAAATCTTCTTTAACTTTTCAAAACTCTCTTGACATTCTTGAGTCCAAAACAAATTTTATTTCCTTTTTCAACAGCTTAGTTAGAGGTAAAGCTATAATCGAAAAGTTTTTAACGAACCTTCGATAATAACCAGCTAACCCAGAAAACTTCGAACTTCTGATACATTCTTTGGAACTTCCCACTCCAGAATAGCTTTAATCTTTTGAGGATCCACTCAAACTCCTTCTGCAGAAATTACATGTCCAAGGAATGTCACTTCATTCAACCAGAATTCACATTTAGAGAATTTAGCATAAAGCTCTTGTCTCGTAAATTTTGCAAGACAATCCTCAAATGAGAACTATGCTCTTCCTCTGACTTTGAATATATTAAAATATCATCAATGAAAACCACCACAAACTGATCCAAATAGGGTTGAAAAATTCTGTTCATTAAATCCATGAAAGCAGCTGGTGCATTCGTAACTCCAAACGGCATCACTATAAACTCATAGTGACCATATCTTGTTCTAAACGCCGTCTTTGGAACATCTTTATCTTGAATCTTTAATTGGTGATAACCCGAACGCAAATCGATTTTGAGAACACTGAAGCTTCCTTTAATTGATCAAATAAATCGTCGATTCGGGGAAGTGGATACTTGTTCTTGATGGTTACTTTATTGAGTTGTCTGTAATCGATACAAAGACGCATTGATCCATCTTTCTTCTTAACAAATAGAACTGGAGCTCCCCAAGGTGATACACTTGGTCTAAAAACCTTTGTCCAGTAATTCTTGTAATTGAATCTTTAATTCTTGCAACTCTTTGGAGCCATCCTATATGGTGACATGGCAATGGGCGCTGTTCCCGGCATTATCTCAATCTGAAATTCTACCTCTCTGTCCGGAGGTAAACCTGGCAATTCTGCAGGAAATATATCAGAAAACTCTCTAACGATAGGAATTTCTTCAATCCCTTTTTCCTTAGTTCTAACATCAAGTACATTAGCAATAAAACCTGACATCCCTGTAGCAGTAACTTCTTTGCCATCATCATGAGATCACATTTGCCAATGGATTCCACCATTCACTAAACACCACAATTTCTACTCTTCTGGACTTCTCAACGTTACTCTTTTCAGTCTACAATCGACATTAGCATAATAACGATATAACCAATCCATTCCCAATATCACTTCAAATTCTTCAAATGGTAATTCCATCAAATTAGCAGGGAATTCAATTCCCTGAATTCGTATGGGACACCCTCGACTCACCATATTTACCCGAGCACTGTGTCCTAACGTTTCGTCACTATCACCTCATTGTTAGTAGCTTCTAATTGAATGTTCAATTCTCTTACTAACTTACTAGTAATGTATGAGTATGTAGAACCCGTATCAATCAATACCATAACCCGTTTATCAAACAACAGAAAAGTACCTGTTAAAATATCCGGTTCATCCCGATCCTCATTGGTCCTGAGATTATACACTCGAGCATTGGAACGTATCTCTTGTTGAGCAGAGGACTCTGACTGATTCTTCCTCTGCCTCTACCTCTTCCCCTTTGGCCTGTAGAAATAGACCCTCTGGCTGCGCATATTCATCGACTACTCTAGGACAATCCCGAACAAAATGTCCGGTCTACCCAATCTAAAGCCAAGCTCCAGAAATCCTTCTACATATTCCAGGATGATTCTTTCCACAATGTGGCATTGTCTATCTTGACTCTGGTAAATCTCCCAGCTCCAGATCCCACGATTGAGTTTGTCTGCCTCTCATCGGATTTGATCCTCTAGCTGAGGATACTGACTCCGATCTAACTTGAGGTCGAGAACCAGCATCTGCCTCTTTTGACGGTGCGGAAACTCGAAGAAGCACCCACTCTCTTGACTGTTTGAGTCCTTGAATTTTCAAATCTCTCATTCTGAGCTCTTTCAAAGCTTTGGCACGATTGACTACCTCTTGAAACGAGGATCAAATTCATACAATCAACATTTCCTTCAAACCGAGGACGTAACCCCTCTACGAACCACTCACAAGCATCATTCTCAGTAGGAACAAGCTCAGCAGTAAAGCGACTCAACTTATTGAATTCACACTCGTACTCATATACGGTGTGATTCCATGCTTCAGATTCATGAACTCTTGCTTCATTTGGCGAACAAACTGATCTCCGATGTACTTATGTTTGAATTCTTCTAAAAATAATGACCAAGTACTTGGGCGTTAGTCATCCTCAATGAACATTGGTCCA